TATGACAATTTTGGTTTATTTGGTCTACATGTACTTTCATATCATTAAGAATACTTTTCTTACCTTTTCTTTGGTGGTTTGCTTCAGAAATGGTCTGCATATAGTGAATGCTGCCTCCACATACCATGGCTGATTCACAAAATGTATTCCTGCATAACGTGCAGGAAAGCAGTCCTAGCAGTGGCGATGAAAACAGAGAGAGAAAAACATACTTGTGAAACCAATTCAAGTTATACTACAACTTTTACTACTCCTGTGAACATAAATTGCTAACTGTAAATTACTAGTTGTACTAAAGTGCAAAGAAGAAACCAAAAAATAAACCAATCCACTGTATCTGTTGCTCGCAAAATCACGCCAATCCTAAAATATGAACTTTAACCTTAGTAGTCAGGTGATCAAAGGGAACTTGTTACAATTCTGTTAAAAAACAAGGAAAAGAATAAATAATTCAACACTTACCTGAAGACCTTCAATGGTTAATTTCATCAATGCTGGGCTGAGTCTAGCTGCTTGTTTAAAAGTAAAGGCTGTCCAATCAATGATAATAACAAAGCCATGAACTTGAATCTCTTGATCTTGTATCAGGTACTCCAAACTCAGCAACAGCGCCCTCAATATGTGAACATAGGGATATCTCCAGGTTTCCCAGTTTGCTGCATTTAAGATTAGAATTTTTCTGCCAAAATGATCATGATTTTCCAGAACTGATGGAAAACCATCTATGAGAGCTTGACGAATTTCTGGATCAGATGTACTGAAGTTAGTAAACATTAGTTTGTTATGTTGACGATATTCAAAATATCGAGCATAGACCTTAAAAGCTTCCACAATATCATATTTACGAGCACGGAGAAATCGTCGAATAAAGTCATCATCAGTGCGTGTAAAGTTAATATCAGGTCTAGTGACAATCAAATCACGAACTTCCTGAATATTGCTGAGCAATGTACGAGGATTTTCATTCAGTTCTTTTCTGGCTTTAACTTGCGTTTCTGTCATCAGCTGGTCATTCCACAGTGCCATGGTAACAGGTATGACAATGTTGCCTTTACTACATACACAAATTTGTTTTATTTCATTTATCCTACTTTAAAATGTGTGCTGAATACTGCTCCAATTTGTTGTGTGATTGTTTGGCTTTGAGCATAAATAGTATAACCATTCATATGTAAGGTTAACAGTTTCCATGGTAACAACAACAATCCAGTTTAGTGCTTAGCTACATCATGATATACACCAAAATAGACACAGCAACTTCCTGTAAAACAACAAACAAATGCTGTACTTTCTTTGCATAATCCAGAAAACAAAGTTACAAGATAATAAATGCATCAAATTTTGATGATGAATTATATTTTTGTCGACATTTATATTTTTATCAAAATTAAACATTTATGGCACATTACCGTAATGTGAAAGTGCTCGTTTTTAGTTATAGTTAGTTATAGCTGGAAATTGAGTTTTACCCCGGTAGTAAATTTTTATGAATATGTTTCACTAATTTTTGATGAGTTTGAATGTAAAATAAAAGAAAAAAAGGATATTTGCTGGATTTTATTTTCACTATACAATTCCTTCAGCGAAAATAGCATATATTTTATAGGTACCCCTATAGCAGCCCAGGTGTTTAAAATTGCTTGAAATGCAGGAGAAAATAGAACATTTTAAGGTAGAAGCCTTATATTCATAAATGCAAATACCCAAAATGTATTAATTTTTGCAATAAATTGAACTCCCAGGCAATATAAGGATATTGACTTGAAAAACAAGAAAATAATAATTGTATTTTAGCAGTTAGTGGCCATTTTGTCAGTATTATAATGCTTTTATCATAGATTTCTATGGCAGAGATATTATGTCATATCTCAAATTATAAGCTGGTGACATAGGCTGAAAAAAATACTTTTTTGGTGTTTTAAAAGGAGTCAACTATTTTTTTTTTAAACATTATGTTTCATGGAATTGTTCTAAAAATAGCAATCTTTTATATATATTAGGACAAGTTTCTAAAATTATGTCACTGTAACACACAAAATAATGCTATTTCATGGTGACATAAGACAATAGCTCCATAAATTTACATAATAAACCAATCAACATTGTCATGCGATTTATGACCAACATTCTTCAAAAATTAGGCTTCTTCCTTAAGGTTATTCAATAGTTTCTAGAACATGGTGGATTTGAAGTGGTCGTACAGGGGTCTTAAATTCGGATCAGATTTAACCCGTACTTAGTATTCCTTAGCCCGTGCTAAGCGTTCACGCACATTATCTTAGCACGTGAACGCAATTAATATCTCAATAAAAAAATCACAAAGATTTGTTTTCTATTTGAACAGGTCTGGTTTCATTTTTCCTCCAAAAAGAAAAGATTAAATTAGACTGGTACAATCAATAGATACATCACACATTCAAACCTGAATGCATCCAGGCACCTATTTTAATGTATGCAGCAGAAATTTGGGGAATAAATATTAGACAAGAACACTGGGGAAAAAACAAATATTGAAAAGCGTCAACAATAAAACCAGCTACATTGGTTGCAGAACAGAAATTGTTCGTTTAACTTCACTTGTCAATGTTCAATGGCAAGCATTTCAACTTGAGTATTATTAACAATGCCCCTATTAGCCTTGCTTAGGATGATCTAAAAGACTGACCTTACCGCTACAAGGATTCATAGATTTTAATTTCCACAATCTGGACAATTATTTTATCATTATGTTAAAGATTATTATACAAAGCATTGGAACTTAGAATTGAAGTAAGACCTTACAAACTATTTAAGAACAAAATAGAGTTAGCTCCATACATTTAATTGTGAATATAGGCATTTTGGCTAAATAAACAAGAACGAAATTTACACAATCTTTTCACAGAAAATTGAGAATTAAAAAAAAAATTATGATTAAATGCAAATTGTAGACAGACATTAAAAAAGACATGCATTCACAGCATTTTCTATCACAGACAAAAACAGCTATTTTAGGAGCTTCATACTAGTCTGTTTTTAATCTTTATTTATATTTTCCGCTCAAACAAAAATGTATTTTTTTTCTCTAATGAAGTATATTTTATTTATCTTACTCTGCATACAATAATATCACGTACAAATAAAAAAAATGGTCTGTTACGCAATTTTGTTCATATATGAGATTATGACATGTATCCATAGAGAAATATATTATATTAAATACGAAATATATTTGCAAAATATAAAGAAAATCGTGAAACTCTATTGAGCAACCGTAAAATAAGAACAATCACATAAAACTACATTGAAAACCAATATCTAATCAGTTGCAAATACTTACAGCTTTCTTAAATGCCTAGTTCTATACGATCGGATTATCTGGCCAGGGACTGCGGACGATATGGCCTAGATCTTTTTCAATCCACTGAAGGTCAGCTGACTGCTGGGGAATCCCTTCCAGGTCGAAGGTCATACATTAAAATGAGACATACCAGCTGTAAGATACATAATATCTGCAACTATACAATATTTCCCCTTCAGATTTCGTTTTTTTTATAATGATATTTGGTTTGATATCATCCGACGTCAACAACAATAACAAGATTCAATATATTAGAAAATTCCTTTCACTTTCCCTCCCAAGATTCATTGCGAAGGGTTGTTCAACATGGTCGCTTCCGCTTTTGCTGTGGGTGTTGTTGGCAATGTTTTTATTCTTTGATCGCGATTATTACGTACATAGATATAGTTGTACGTATATACATGCATAGAACGAAGAACCGAGGAGCAGAGGTAATTATTTTTGTAGTTGTCACGACATGTTCTGTTGTCATCTTTTTTCGACAGTCAGCGTGCATGCGGAAGTGCAGTAACACACGAAAGTGTCCGCGACTG